TGGTTGAGTATGGTCTCAAAAATAGAGGAAGAAGTGAAGGTTATGCAAAGTGAAATAAAGGAAAATGTGCGGGGAACCAACAGTGACAGGAAGGAAATCGGGACTCAAAATCAATGATCTGGACAAGAAAGAAAATAAACATTCAACCAGAACAGAATGAAGAAACAAGAATTCAGAAAAATGAGGAGAAGCTTAGGAACTTCCAGTACAACTTTAAACATTCCAACATCCAAATCATAGGGGTGCCGGAAGGAGAAAAGGAAGAGCAAGAAATTGAAAACTTAGTTGAATAAAATAATGAAGGAGAACTTCCCCAATCTGGCAAAAGAAAGAAAACTTCCAGAAAGTCCAGGAAGCTCACAGTCCCAAAGAAATTGGACCCAAGGAAGCACACACCAAGGCACATCATAATTACATTACCCAGGATTAAAGATAAGGAGAGAATGTTAAAAGCAACAAGAGGAAAGGAGACAGTTACCTACAAAAGAGTTTCCATAAGGCTATCAGGTGATTTCTTTTGAGAAAAAGAAACATTGCAAGCAAGAAAGGGATGGAAAGATGTATTTGAAGTCATGAAAGGCATGGACCTACATCCAAGATTACTCTTCCCAGCAAAGCTATCATTTAGAATGGAAGGTCAGATAAAGTGCTTCCCAGATGAGGTCAAGTTAAAGGAGTTTATCACCACCAAGGCTTTATTACATGAAATGGACTTATCTAAGAAAAAGAAGATCAAAACTATGAATGGGAAAATGACAACAAACTCACAACTATCAACAACTGAGCCTAACAAAAACAAAAACAACTAAGCAAACAACTAGAACAGGAACAGAGTCACAGAAATAAGAGATCATATAAGGGTGATCAGAGGGGAGGGGGAATGGAGGAAAAGGTACAGAGAATAAGGAGCATAAATGGTAGGTACAAGATAGACATGGGGAGGTTAAGAATAGTATGGGAAATGGAGAAGCCAAAGAACTTATATGAATGACCCACGGACACGAACTAAGAGAACGGAAGGGGATGCTGGTGGGAGGTGGGACGCAGTACAGACGAGAATAAAGGGGAAAAAAATATGGGACAACTTTAATAGCATAATTATAATAAAAACACTTAAAAATAAATGGAATCATAAAACAAAACAAAAAACCCGTTTCCTCACATAAACCCACTGCATTTTCCCTCAATTAACTCTTCTTAGCCTGACTGCTTGCCAAAATCAAACTCATTATCCATCTCTTCGAACATCCTCATGTATTCTCCATGCTATGTGTTACCATAAAACCAGGCATCTAAGCTTGAAGAGTCACTTCTGACACTTCCCTCTTGCTTACACAGGGTAACCATCCATCCGTTTACCAGGACAGTACAGGTTTATGCCTGTTATCCCAGCAAAATGATTAAGAGTACTCCTATTCAGCTCTAGAACTGTCCCAATTTAGATGATAAATTATATGGTCACCCTTTTTATAATCATTAGTTAGTAACCAACTGCTGAATATTTCTCTAACTGGCTTTCTCTTCCTCAACTGACTTTCTAATTTATCACCTGAAATGACACAGCATCCTTTCATCCAACTGGATGTGCTTTTTTGCACATCACGCCCCTCTGCCTGAATACCCGCTCTTTCCATTTCTGAGCAATCTGGGAACTCAGATCAAACGGCATCTCTGCTGTGAAGCCTCCCAGACTCTTCCAGTAATTATGTGTGCCTCCTAAAATATTAAGTGCAATGCTGATAACAGGTAACATTTATTGGATGCTTATTACACCCTTAGATTAAGTAATTTTAAGTATCTGATCTCATTTAATCCTTGTAATAACTCTATATGATAGCTTTTCCTTATTTTTTAAAATGTGGAGGCTAAGGCTCTAGAATATTAGTAACTTGGCTAAAGTTACAAAATTAAGTAGTGGAACTGGGACGTGAAACCAAGTATGTCTAATTCTTAGCCAAAGCTTTAAAACTCTCCCCTGTACTATGTCACCTATACCACCATTAATAGGTTTCTGTGTCCTAACGTGTGTGAGTCTGTGCTGCAACTCTTGTCCCACTTGGTCAACTTGGTACTTCAATAATTCTCTGTACACACTCTGTAGAGAGACCAGTTATGCAATAGTAAGTTTCCTCCATCTCCCTTAAAGAGACCGGTACAACTTCAATGACAGAGAAAGCCTTTGCTATTCACAGCATATGTACTGTGACTCAAAGCAGGTTATCCATAAGGCTAAAAGCAATACAGCATTTACTATTCAGTCAAAAATTCTGATGCAGAAAGTTGTCTCTTCTACAGTCTTATTAATTAGGATGTGGTTCAGAATCTACCTAGAATTAAGCTGAAACTAGTAAACTAGCAGCTTTTAAGCTTAACTTCATTAGATTTCTTTGGCTGGCATAGTGCCATTTGTTAGTAGAATTCATTGCCAACATTTAAAACTTGCAGATTTTTTTCGTAAATGGAGATTTTGAAAGGCTGGAACAACATTTTTACATGATGTAACCATCAGGCAGTAATGACTGTTGCTCCTATCAACTGGGGAAGTCCTCTCCGACTCTATGTGCACTGCTCTGTGCGAATTCCTGGAAAACGAAATATGTCTAGTGTGTATGTTTCTGTTAAAAAGCTATTTGTTCATTCCATGTATTTTATGCATTTGGAAAAACAACAGATTGGTAACTGTGGGTTAAACTGCAAATTAACTAATAAAATAAACCAATTCTTTATAATAACACCACACCTCAAAAAGTACTACCAATATTATAATTATTGACTGATGGCCTTTATCAAAGAAAAATGTACATTTAATGTGCTTTATGACACACAAACAAATATATCTGTATTCAGGCCTGTGATCCCTGAGGAAAGATAAAATGGAAAAGAATTTCTGTGGCTAAGAACAGAGGGATAACCAGAAGACCATGGGATCAAGCTTGGTAAGATCATGGATAAAGAAACCAACCTTATGGGGAATTAAAATGCAAAAAGATACACTAATACTTGTTCAAATTGAAAATTAAATACAAATCGACAAAAGGCTGTCAACCATATGGCTTCACAGTATATTTTAATTAATGTGGGAAATTTAACTGCCATGAACAACCAATCCTAAATGTTTGCTATGATATGCCTCTACCTAACAGAGCGCACGAGTAGGGAATTTAAATGTGTAAATGCTGCTTTTTCTCATTTTTACCTCCAGGGACAATATTAAATATAAGGCCACCTTGATCATTACGGATTTGGAATATCCCTTGGGAAATAATGGGGAAATGGTGAAAATTCTATTAACATCATTAATATGATCTTAAAATTCACATATCTAGATGGTTACATATTACACTTATTTTAGATCATGGAAAACTGAGATAAAAGTCAGCCAAACACTATCATCAGTTAAGAACAAAGTACCTCATTGCTCAAATTTTAGGCTTACTCAAAATTCAGAGATTTTGAAGGTCTCTAAAGATGAACATGTTATTTGTCCTCCCCTCCCACCCCTAGATAAAGATGGCATTTTATTTATTCTTTTAATTTCTTATTTTTATTGATTTTAGAGATAGAGGAAGGGTGAGGAATACACAGAGGGAACAGGGAAGAGGGAGGGAGGGACAGAAGGAGAAGGGGATAGAGAGACAAACATCAATTTGTTGTTCCACTTGTTCATGCACTCTCTGGTGGCTTCTTGTGTGCGCCCTGACTGGGGACTGACACTGCAACCGCGGCGTATGGGGACAACCCTCTGAACAACTGAGTTACCTATCCAGGGTCTTATTTTTCTCCCTTTTTACTGAATGTATTGGGGTGACGCTGGTTAATAAAATTAGGTTTCAGGTATACGCTTCTGTAGAACGTCATCTGTGAACTGTACTGTCTGTTCATCACCCCAAGTCAAGTCTCCTTCCATCACCACGCACCGTTCCTCCACCCCTCTGGTCATCACCATACTGCTGATTCTTTTTTCTTAATCTCATGGATTTGTGATCTTAATTTTTAAATAATTTTTAAGAACTTTTACAAGTTTTTTAAAGCTACTAAAGTCACCAGTCTGAGATTCTGAGATGCATTGTATTTGACCACCCATCTCGCTTGTTTGTCAATTGGGCTCTGAGGAGTACCTTACCATCTAATAAAAAGATGGGAAAGCAAGCAGCCCCCTACTCCTAATAGCTTTGGTTTTATGTTTTGTATGCTGGGCTTTCACTTTAGACATTTCGAAGATCTGAAAATCACTGATGTCCTCTGAATGGTGTAACAAAATTTAAAGTTAACCAGGGATGAAACAAAAATCCTGTCAGATTTGGAGGATTCCATTCTCTGCTGCAGTTTACTAAACTCCTGCTCCTCTTAGAATGTCCTGATTTCTAAAAGCAAGAAAGTGAACTCTTCGAAGACCATGATAATCACATTCTACAACAGGAACAAAAAAGGTACTCAAGTGACATAACTTACTAATAACTTCTGTACATAACTAAAAAGGTCAGCCTCCATTCAAGAAGCTCATTTATGTAGTACTAAAAGGTAAGAAGTGTACCTATATAATAGATCTAAATATGTTCTGAGTAACGCAATCATCTCAAACAATACTGTTCAGTACAAATGCTCCAATTCTCAACCTTACTGTTTACTTTAATGTAGTGTGCAGCATTTAATGCCTAAGGCTCCATAATGGAAACATAAAATACCCATTTAATGATGAAGTTTCCATAGGAATGCAGCTCCTTTAAATGACACAATAGTTCATTAGGAAAAGTGGTAGGAGCTATGCTCGGAATGTAAAAAAGAACAATACACAGAAACATTACCAATAAAAATTTGTAGTTATGACAATTTGTAAAGAAAAACAGTATGTCTGCTTAAGTATCACTTAGCTATTCGAGGCTATGAGACAACTGATGGAAATGGAAAGTACAGAAGTAGCTATAGAAAAAATAAGAGAGTTCAGTACAGATCAGTGAAAACATACACACCACCATCCATCACGGCTTACCCCATCTTACCTGCGGAGGAGTAGGTGTGGATGTGGGCCTCCCTATGGGTGGAGTAGGGTTTCTGCTGCCACCTCCAGACATAATCTCTTCTGTTATGTCTTTACCGCCCTGGTTTGGATCCCGAATTCTTATCTACGAGGTTACAGTAAGATGTCATTTTTTACAGACGGGTGTCTATGTAGTAGATTTATAGGCATATAACGCATTAAAGGTGTAAAACTGGAAAACTTGTTAAATATTAAAGCTGATAACACCACATTTTATTTTACTTCAATCACAGAACCATATGGGGTCATTCAGAGAAATATAGGCCATTAGCTCTGAGATGAACTAATTAAAATAGCAAGCTAAATGAGACTTAGTTGACTGAATTTCTAGGTCAAAAAGGCAAAGTGGTAACACATCTTTTAAGCATTGCCAAATTGACTGATTTTATTTACAATGCTTAACTTAAGATTCATAAACAGTTTTAAAGTATGGAAGTTATTCTGTACAATACAGTTTTAAAGGCCTTATATGGTTCTGTACCAAAATGAAAAAAACAAACATATCCTGGGACCTAGGAACAGGAATTTATGTTGTAGATAACCTTATATGTGTATGTAAGGATTCTCACTGCAATGTTTTACAGCACAGAAACATCTTAAAGGATGATGAAAAACATGGTAATTAAAACATCATGCCACATCCTTATACTACCTACCAAACAGCCAGTAGAAAGAATGAGGCTGATCTACATGTATTGCAATGGAATGATCCTCAAGATGTACTGATAAGAGGAAAGATGAAAGATGCAGAACAATGTGCATGGCAGGGGTGTCAAACTCATTGTCACCGGGGGCCACATCAGACTTACGGTGGCCTTCAAAGGGCCGAATGTGATTTTAGGACCGTATAAATGTAACTACTCCTTAACAGTTAAGCGAGAGCTTGGCATTGCTGCGGGTAGAGACAGATTTGGCCCGTGGGCCTTGTGTTTGCCACCTGTGGTGTATGGTCTTCTTTAATTTTTTTTTTAAAGGCTAGTTGTGTGTACAGATGCCAGTAGACATGGTTAAATAAGAGAGTTGGAGTACCAAGGTCTGGGTCTTCCACCCTGGGACAGTGCGGAGACAAAGACTTTTCACTACCTACAGAGCTTAATCAAGGTAGCCCTCGCTTCTTGAACATTTCAAAGAATCACTAATAAAACCACCTGGATCTTTAAGCATTTTTTGGAAGTAGTTTCTTCAGTAAGATTTCTAATATCAGCTATGTTTTTCAGGTTGAAAAGCTTGTTCCTAATACAGTGTTAAGTGCTGATTCTATTTCATCTGTTCTACCTTCTTCAGTAACATTTACTATTACTGTCCTTCATTTTCACTGTCTTTTCTTAACTTTCCTGCATCCAGAAAGTGTTCAAGGCCGACATCTGCCATGCTGTTTCAACACTTCCGAGGCAGAGTTTCTCATGTTCAGTGCCATGACACCCCTGCGTGCCCTGCTTATTAGGGTGTGTGCACAAGTAATTTGTCTCTGATAATAAAGTGCCCACTAATTTTTATTAAATGAGAGTATTTTCAAGAGTAGTGCTAATAAAGTCAAGTCACCTATCTTATCTGTGTGAATGGGGAAGTCTCTTATAAACATAGCCTATTTTGAGAGTTCTGATGGACAAAAGATTACAAGCCACTATTGGACACCATGTTCTGCACTATGAATTTTACAACTGCACTCTAATTCTCTTGGGCCTGCCTTACTAGATACAGGCAAAGCCTCTATAACTTACTAAAAACAATTAGAATACATTTCCTAAATTCTGCTTTTTGTTTCTTAAAATATGTTCCACAGGAAGGATTTTCATTGTTGTCCTTAACATTTTGCTCATTTTCCCTTATGCTATTTTTTCCCCATCAGTTCATATTTGGATATAGAGCTGACTAGGACTAGAGTTAAAGAACAATCAGAATGTGAGAACCACGCTCAAATTCCTCCCACTTAGTAAGACCTTAGCTGACCAAATCCTCCCAGTTCTGAAGCTGGAGGGCAGGCTGTCGTTTTGCATACCCAACTGAGTGCATGTTGAAAACTGATTAACAAGCAAATGGTACTTGCAGCTTCCAGTCAAATGCCCACATGTGTGAGGATACAAAAGAACAAAAAATGGCAGTCATTTGCGAACTAAGACTAATAATGATTACAAATGTGAGTAAACTTATCTGACAGGTGAATGGATATTTAATTTTAAAATAAGAAAAATTTAAAAAGATCTCTTACTGTTTTTTTCTCTCTCTTGGCTGGAGGGGGCTGCTGCTGCGTAGGCACTATGATAGGTGCTGACTGATACACTGGCTGACTTGGGTAAAAAGGCGTTCCTAAGGAATTAGAAAAGAATAAAAAGAAGCATTCGGTTATTTTGTCAATCACTATAAAACTATGAATGGCACTGTGCCACTGTACCATCAGTTTTAAAAAGTAACCAAGACAAGCATTCTTCTTATTCATCTCTTTCCACTAGCTCCCCTCCAGCTAATACAGTGGTCAAGGAATGATTTCCAAAAACTCATAAACACCTATCTTTTCTTTGGCATCTGATATGAAAACAAATAAATAATCAATCCCTGTTGATTGCCACTAGAGTTATCTTTTGCAAACAATAAGCATACTATAGCACTGCTTTAAGAAATCTATTGTAGGGGTCCATTACAGACACTGGAAATTCTGAAGATGAAACCTGCAGATCTGCTGATGTGGGCGTGTGAGAGAAAGAAATGTTGAAGAAACCTCTCAATGTTTTTCATCTTGGCAAGTGAAAGAATGAAGGTGTTACATGCTGTGTTATTTATTTACTTACTGAGATGAGGGAAACTGAAAGAAGAGTAGAGTGGAGGGCAGAAAATTCAAGAGTTCAGTTTGGGACATATAAAGCTTGACATTATTAGACCTTCAAGTGGAGATACCAAGTAGGCAAAAAGAGACATAAGTATGGTGTCAAAGAACAGGTATCCACTGTGGATTTAATAGAATATGGACAACATTTAAACCATGAAGTGAGAGTTGTCATGAAAACCCAGCAAAAGAGATGAAAAAGAAAACCAAGGCAATGGCTGAAATGGCGGGGGGAATTCAAGAATGGGGAAAGTGCTTAACTATGCCTAATGGTGCCGAGATGTCAACTAAGTTTAGCAAAGTAGAATTCACCAGTGACCTTGACAAAAGTTGTCTGGTTAGGACAAGGGGCATGTATTATGATTAGGATACACTCAAGAATATGTGAGATTATTTTAAAAATTAAGAAAGTGAGTTTAGATAACTCTTTTTCTAAAGAGTTTTACTATAGTAGGGATCATAAAAACACACTATAGCAAAAACAAGCATACATTTATTTTTAAGAAATTGGAATGAAAAAAAATGTATCTGTATGCTGATGGGACTAATGCAGCAGAGGGAGAAAAAGATGGTAAAGTAGAAAACAGAGGCTAGAACTGTCAGAATAATAACCTTAAATGGGCACATGATGGGATCCAGTGCATAAGCAGAAGACTGGCCTTTGGTAGGAGCACGAATAGTTGAGTCACAATAAAAGGAAAGAAAAAAATGTTTATGAAGGTAGTTGATACGGATAAAATCCCTGGTACTTCAGCAAAGAGTCACATAATGTTAGCTCTACTATCACTCTCATCACATGATAATATCATCGCCATCCCCACCATCATAATCTTCAACTGGAAATATCTTAGAGGTTGTATGATTTGCAGTACCAGAACTCTGCAGATATTAATCAGGTTTGGAAAATTGGATTTGAAAAAGATCTAATCAGAGGACATGACTTGGGATTTCAGTAAGTTCACAGTAAAAAGGCAAAAAAAAAAACACACGCACACAAAAAAAACCCTTAGCCATCCTTTAGCGGTGAGTAAACTATTCTCAAAGGAGAGCTCAAATAAGCAATTTATGCTACTCTACTATGTCACTAACTCCAAAACTCAAAAAACAAAACCCTAAAATTGGTTTCAAATGCTGCTAGAGAAGCAATACAATTTGCTTACTGTGCCACATTTTTTAAACTAAGTGAAATAAGATCCAAAAGGTGAACCGTCCCTTAAAAAATCAGATTCTGCTAATAAAACATCTTTGAGTCAACATGACTCAGACTGAGGCTTCCACATAATACACAAGCAATAAATAACAAATGATTAAACCTGGCAGAACAGGATAATCTCAACATAGCAGAGTTAAACACAATTAGTAAAACATTAATTAAGTCACCTATGGACCCCAGGCGAAAAGGCATTCTGCCCTAACAAACAAGTTTTCTTTTAGAATCTAATCCAACTTCTTATATAGTCAGGGATATTTAAAAACATTCATTAGAGCTCTGGCTGGTGTGGCTCAGTGGACTGAGTGCCGGCCTATGAAGCAAGGGGTCGTTGGTTCGATTCCCAGTCCAGGCATGTGCCTGGGTTGCGGGCCAGATCTCCAGTAGGGGCACATGAAAGGCAACCCACACATTGATGTTTCTCTCCCTCTCTTTCTCCTTCCCTTCCCCTCTACAAATAAATAAATAAAATCTTTTTTTAAAACATATGATTCTATTAAACATATGAATAACTTTTGCCTACCACTTATGAATTAGGCAAGTTACTTAATGCCTCTGGACCTCTTCATGAAGTGAGGTTAAGTCTGCCTAGATCAGGGTTCTGTCAGCTAAAGCCCACGGCCATTTATTTTGCAAATAAAGTTTTACTGGAAGACTACCACATACATTAGTTTTATTTATGTCTATGGCTGCTTTCCCACTGCAAAGGTAGAAATGAATAGTTGCAAAACAAACCACATGGCCTACAAAGCCTAACACACTTATTCTCTTGGCCATTTATAGAAAAAGTTTGCTGACCCCTATTCTAGATCAGTAGTTCCCCAAACCCCCCCATACAAAAGGTATTGATAGCATAAGGCAATATTTATATAATAATAACCATGGAATATTATACACACACACACAAAACATTATATGCTTACCAACTTGACATTTATTTGGAAAAGACTGTTCCTAAATTGAAATTCAGACCTACTCCTTTGTTGTTAAAATATCATTTCCTATGTGAAATAAACTTTGGGTAAATAGCAATTTTCTTTAAAAGTCTGATGTTCAAAATTAAAAATCTGACAGTTCTGTGTATTTCTTCCTTTATTTTACTTGCTCAAGATATCGAAAGATCTGTAAACCATTGGTCTAGTTAATAGTTAGATTTCTTCTCATTGGTCAAGCCCCAAGCATAAACATTAAATCAATGTACTATAAAATCCTGAAAGGCAGGGAGAATATCTCAACAACCACATTCCTTAAAATACTGAACACAATGTCTTACACATGGCAGGTCGTCCAAAAACACTTCAAAATCATGAATTTTCCATTGAAACAAAGAAAAACATAGAGGTCAAGTATGTAGGTCAGCACATAAAAATCAATTTGTCCTATAGAATACCCAGAACAATAAATGTTGGTATGCAACCTCATCACCAAATATAGTATTACCACTCCATGAAAACACAATCAAATTCAACTTTGGATGCCAAAAAGTTTCCCATCTCAACACACCATGGGGAACAAGGACTTCCTCATCTCTTAGGAGCTGAATGAGGTGCCCGAGCCCCACAAAGATGCAGGGAAAGAGTGGGCAGATGACAGGGAGGGGAAAACGACACGGTAGAGTGAGACAAAAGGAGCGTATGCTGGTTTGAAGAAAGGGAGGATGGGACTGTCTACCACTGTAAATTGTCAATTTCTTTTCCCTTCTCAACATGCCACCACTAACCATACATACCCTTCTGCTCCCAAGCCTAAATTTTTCATCTTGGGCCATCACTCCCTTAGGCTGGCTGGAAATGATTTCAGTATGAAGTATCTTTCTGATAGAACACGCATCAAATATTTAAGAAACACTACAGAAAAACTCAAAGGGAACACTAGAAATACTGCAAGAATTATATTTTCTGAACAGAATTCTATGACCTGGGTTCCTGAACTTCAGTGTAGGTACACACATTCTTTGAAAATCACTGTTCAAGATTTAAACCAAGTAGGGGAGTAAAATGTTAGCATGCCAAGTAAGCTGTAAGACTAAGGGTGGAAAACTAAGAAATCTGGGGAAAACACCATCCAAATCATACACCCCAGCAGCAGGACAAGAAGAAACAAGTCTAAGATTTGTTCCTGGCCAGTGCAGCCACAGGAAGGTCTCTCTGCCCTGGGTGAGACGACCCCATCTTCAGAACACAGACCTCGGATCCCACCCCCAAACCCACTTTCTACTTGAACCCAAGATGAGGACAGGAGAAGCAGTAGAAGAAAGGGGAGTCATCAAGATCAGAAGAACTGGAAATGAAAAGGTAAAGTAGGAGAGATTCCAAGAAGAAATAAGAAGGCGAATGTTTTGGGCTTCTAGACCATAAGACCAGGACAGCTACCACAAGGTGGGAGAGCTGAAGGACCTATAATCAATGGGAACTACTGGAAAAGAAGTTTAATTTGGACAAAAGCAGATTAACTAGTGGCAAACTATGAAATTAAAATATCTGCCCAAATAATGAAAATAATCTAACCTTCTATCAGGAGAGGACTGGGTGAATAAGTTATGTTTTATTCCTAAAATTAAATACTATGTATCTTGAAATTCTATAGGTAATCAATTAGAATGCTGTCTGCAAATATAGTGGAATTAAAAAAAACTGTTAAGGTGGGTGGGGCGAGGGAAAGTGGTGGCAGGAAAATGGAGACAACTGTACTTGAACAATACATACATACATACACAAACAAAAAAGTGTGTACTTTGTATTAAAAATGTTTAACTATAAATGGAAAAATATGCATTAATCTGTTAAATATTTCTTTAGGGAGCAAGGAAAGAGAAAAATGGATATTTCAACTTTACATGTCCTATATTATTTGTATTTTTCATCATTAACTTGATTGCTTTCATAATGAAAAATTATTTTAGTCGTTTTCTAATCTTAATGAATCTAGGGAAATAGTGTTTTTTTTAATTTTTTAAAAGATGATTTTATTTATTTTTTTTAAGATTTTATTTATTTATTTTTAGAGAGGGAAGGAAGGGAGATAGAGAGAGAGAGAGAAACATCAATGTGCGGTTGCTGGGGGTCATGGCCTGCAACCCAGGCATGTGCCCTGACTGGGAATCGAACCTGCGACACTTTGGTTTGCAGCCCACACTCAAGGGAAATAGTGTTTTAAATTAGGTGATAAAATGCCTACTAGATGGCTATTGGATCTGCATGAGAATTTCCTCACAGACAAGGACATCTATCAAAGGAATAGACATCAACATTATATGAGATACACTGTACCTCAAAATATTGCTTTTTTATAAAAACAAGCAAATGCAGTCTACATGTAATAGAAATAAAGCTAATACATGTTATAATATCATATATGAATCAACAAACTATCTACTAGTAAACTCATCTACATTGATTCTATATATATTGCAATAGTACTCTTAAGAGCAAGAAAGAGGGTCAGCACAAGCATAAGAATTTTAATGAAGACAATTTCTGAGTCAAAAAAGTCATTTATATAATCTATAAATACACAACAGACTAGAATTCAGTGAGACACCTTTCAAAATTAGTAGGTAAATTAGAAGATACAATTGCATTCCCTTTGTAACATGGGACTGAAAGAGAAATATTAATTTTAACATGTTTACTGTGATAACCTCATCCTACAGTCTTTTTCAATATATTCTACTAATTTCTAATGAACATCAACAGCCAATTTTACATATGAAATCATTTTAACTGGATTTAAGTTTCCAGAATAAGCACCATCAGAAAGGCTCTGGAACTGTGTGAAAACCAAAGCTGAAAGCTGAGCTCAGAGGACACACAAGGAACACTTCGACAGTCCTGGCAACTGTCTAATCTGGGTAACGCACACACAGTATTTCACTGTAACACTTATATATATATGTAACATGTATTGTTCTAAAAACATCCAAGAGTTTAATGAAAATACATTATAATGCCATTTTAAATAAACATACATCTAAGACATTTAATGATCTATCAAAGTATATCCTTTTAAAATGGCAGTTTCACAAGCTATACTGACCAATGTCAGAGGAAGACTGTCTGTTTTATAAAAGAAGTTAACACTTGGATGATTTGCCCGTTTCACCTCAAAACCTAAGGGAAAATTTCTAGTTTCCCTAGACTAGGGAAATTAGTCTAATATAATTAATTCTTGCAAAGTTTTTAAATCAAGCCACTAAGTCCCAATGTTAAGAAATTGGTTAGTGGATATATGTTTATATCTATAACAGATCATCATCTTAAAAGAACAAGTTAAAATTTTAGTATGTCCTTTAGTAGAAAAGATCAATACTTAATGAATCTTAAAGCTTAATTTTTCTAGTATTTGATGATTTTATCCCTTATAATTCACTTTCTATAGAATAAAAAAAGCATAGTATATGGTAGAAATTTATTGAATAAAATAGGTTATTTTCATTACTCTTCAGCACTGGTTCACACAAAGTATACTCATGGCACTTATTTCTAGCCATTAAATATTTTTAATTTTTCAAGGCGTTTTCATTTAACTAATCCTCAAAACCTCCCCATCACATAGATCTTTAACAATTTTGCAGAAAAGGAATCACAGGTATATTGAGTTGTATTCAGTCATCCTATCCCCTGCCTTCATATATATTACATTCTAAGTGGGAAAACATTACCAAATGTTTTGGTAAGTGGTGGTAACTGCTTGGAAAAGGAAGGTAAGACCTATTTATGACATCAGTAAAAATCCAGTAAAAGATGAGTTGGTGGCAGATATCAGAACCTCGACATGTGGGCTCTGTGCAACTCCTTCAGAGGTGTCATTAACTAAATACACTTCTGTAATACTCCTTCCTTGTAAGCCACTCTCTAAGAAGTAGCTTTTAGGTAAGAACTGTCTGTAACACTTTACCTACAAATAACTTCAGACCACTAAACCTCATTGCCTAAACTGACCTCCCCAACAACAAAATTGGTTAAAAACAACAAACTAGTAAAAACTGCTCCATTTTTCACACTTACCATAGGCATTGGGGAAGTCCCCTGGTCCTGGTCCAGGGTAAAAAGGACCTGGCCCCGGTGGTTGAACGGGATACTGCTGTGGGGGCCCAACATAAGGAGGGCCACTATGACGGTACTAGAAGAGAGAAATTACAGACATTTATCAGTAATGTGCAGGTAGCTTACTATGAAAAATAAAGTGTGGTGTGTATATAAGAAAATCATTTAAATGAGGTGAAGCCACTTGGTTAAACACATTCAAAATGCCTGCTTGCTATCAGGATGCAATGAGAATGAAGAGAAAGGTGTGCCTTGCCTTAAGTAAAACCATATAGCAAAAATCAGTGCACAGGCAGACATTAGCTCATTGTAAAATTATTTCAGGTTGACAGCTTTTATTGACATGGAATGATATCACAGGAACAGCTTAATTACTGAGCCTATTTTAGAGCAGCTGATTGTGGAGAAGGGATGGGAGGAAAGCTAGGAGACAAAAACAATTTCTGTATCATCTTAGTGGTAAGTAGAAAAATGTAGAGGTATCTTTTTATAATATTATGGAAAATTACAAAATGGCTAGACTTCTAACCAACAAAAAAGTTCACACATAACTGAACACTAATGCCATCATCCACCCTCCCTGCTCCCTCTGATGAGACTCTGAGTTAATCCCCACTCTCCTGCTGGTCCGCACAGGCCTGAGAGACGCTTTACCTGTGGTATACAGTACTGAGGGCCCTGCGGCACTGGGTACGGCATGGGCAGATGGTTAACCATCATGATGTGCTGATTGGCCTGGTACACTGCAGTGGGCGTCTGTGCACCAGGGCGAATGGAAGGACTGCTGTTCGGGATGGTAGCTCTAGGAGGCTGTATTTGAGGCCTCTGGAAAAACTGAGGAAGGGAGAAAAAATACATTCATTCATTCGTTTGTTTGTTTATTTTACTATCTTGAACTTTCTCCTTGTTTCCACTAATAAAAATCTTACCAATTTGAATTAGAAATGTAATATACATGAAAAGAGACAAAACTGCCGATGGCTGGGTTCACAAAAAACATTCCATACTAATCACATTAGGTTCAGTTTTAATCCTGGTGTCACACATTTGAAAACAGGAGGGCAGTCTCATTTTTAAAATGAAGTCTCAGCTAATTTAAACTAAAATTTCCATACCATAATAAGTAATTTTAAAATGTGATAAAAATAATAAAAGGGGTAGCTGATGTCTCTCTAAAAGTTTTGTTGTATAAAAGCATTGATTCTTTCATAAAGAGTAGGTGGCTTATTATCAACTTACTAAAAATTGAAAGCAGTTTCAAAAAACTACCATTTAAGTCACTTACAAAATATTTAGAAGAACAAGAATCTCTCTGGACATGAAAATTTTCATCTCAGTCTATCAGGGTTAAGTTAAATTAAAACTATCTGTAGCTTGTTGCATGCTGATTGCCCTGTAATGGTAAAAGCCCTCCTTTTCAAAAAAATGGCAACCCCACACTAAAATGAACCCAATTTTGCTTTCTCAAATAGTTTGCAATAAAAATGGAGGATCTAGGCAGGCTTAAGGACAGGCTGGAAGGAGCAGAGCTCAAATCTTTCAAATGGCAACCAGTACTTGTGGTTATTTATGGTTCTCACTTAAGACTTAAAAGCCTTAAAACAACATACCAACATTTAATTCCCACTGTGAATTCAGCAGCAAACAATCCGTCTCATTGTAACAGTAGTAGTAGTGGTGGTAGTGGTAGTGGTGGTGGTAGTAGTAGTAGTAGCAGTAGTAGTAGTAATGGGACAGAGTAATAAAGAGGCCATGCAGAACCAGTAGTTTATTACCTGGATAGGTCTGAATCCTCCCTTCAATTATGAAGCAAGAAAGCGGCAGGAAACAGAAAGAAAGCCAATGGAAAAGCTTATAGATCAGTAGAAAGGGGTAGGGTATAGCATGCAGCTAAACAAAAATATCGATTTAATAATAGGAGAAGGAAGATTAAAAAATCAGAATGATAATTTTCCCTTGAAAATTCAAGAACAGTGGAATTAAAGAATAAAATCACATTTAATTAAAAGTAAATAAATCCAGTGGCAAAAAAATATTCTAATAGCCACAGTTATAACAGCTTGAAAAGAAATGTCTGCTTAATGGCACAAGTACAGTTGGGACTACTGATTCCTACTCTGGGCTCTCATGAATAGCCATTATGTGACTAATTGCTTAGCTTCTTTAGGATGCACTCTACAGCTTCATTGAAGGCAAGAGCTAACAATAAAAGCGTCATTTATCATTTTAAAGTTTGCAACATATATCAGACTCTTCATGACAGAAACCTGCTCTTTTCAACTAACCAGGCATATAAGAGGCTGCTTACAGCTTTAATATAGGGAAATATAACACCAGTCAAAATAAATATGTGCCCTAGCTCCAAAATCTGAGTTCCTCACAATTGCAGACATGTTGCTATTGGTCCAAACAAAAGCAAAGTTGAGTTTTGACCTTCAGGCCCACTCAGGTCTTATCCAGTCCTATTCTTAATCATTATGCTATCCACAGGTGGTAACTTTACATCTTGGCTGAACTGGAAGAACTGGGATCCAGTGCCCAAGGCTCATCCCCATTCAGCCTTCATAACTCAAGATGGGGGAAAAAAAAGGCACTAAAGAAGTTAGGTCACTTAAAAGCAATAGACAGTAAGGTACAGTCTGAGAATGAAGTAAATAAGGAAATCAGATGGGGAAGGCCAAAGACAGTAGCTGATGGAGGAGATGAAAAGAAAGTACAAGAGGCAAAGTTGATTAACACAGAAACCTGGTCTGAGCCACACAAGAGCAACAGTCTTCTAGTCATCTCCACTGACGCAGGTTTGGTGACAGACATAACAATTTTTGTTGGTGGCCACCAGGGACACTGAAGTAGTAAACTCTTCACACTAAACTTCACTTCTCAATTACATAGCAAACAGACTCTATTACTCATCAATGTATGTGAGTTGCAAGAACATTTCAGGAATAAACAATTAAGTTACATTTTTGTAACTTAATTTATCAGGAGCCACAAAACTGTTAAAGACATCAAGGAGAGAGGAGTCACTCATCTGCTCAACTTATTGAGCATTACAGATGTTAGACACACTAGATGGAACTAATTCTATACAACCCTTTCCCATCAACTCTAGAGGGCAGTCAAGACAAGGAGCGTATCAGACAGGCACAGGTGGCTACATACATCCACTGTGGCTACATACATCATCATTGAATTTTCCAAGGTACTTACTGCCTGAAAAACATAGGGCTATGGTGGGGGAGAGAGAGGCAACTAACCCATTTATTCATGCAGAGCAAGGAAAACAGATATGGACAAAGTTTTCCCATAATTTTAATAGTTTACTATGTGTGAGTACTTTTCATACCATTATTTCCCAATGCTCTGCTAGGATTTTTAATTAGGCTGTCTAGAAAAACTAAGGTTACATCTTATTCAAGGAGATTTCTCAATAGTGTCCAACTTTTCTTCAGCAGCTTTTGAAGAGAATCAAGTGTTTCAATGATCTCCTAATATTAACATAGAGCTGAGATACTAAAACACAAAGTTTGAGGTTATGTGGACATACAACAGTTTTTTATAAACTAAGAGTTCAGCTTTGAAACTAAATAGAAAAATAGATTCATATAAGCACATTAAGTAACAATAGTTAAGATTTATATAGCACTTACTAGCTACTAGGTACCATTAAACACTTTACACATACTGTACATTAACTTAGCCTCACAACAAATCTCTAAAGCAGGTACTATTACTAACACCCCATTAGATATATAAAGAAACAGAGGGAAAGGAAGATTAAGTAACTTGCTAAGGTCTCTCATCTGTAATTTAAATACAGTCAGGTTCTTGGTCTGTACATTTAACTGTTATATACTCTACCTCTCATGAAATGGTACAATCATCGTATTTTCCAACAAGTGTGCTCAATCAGAAGAAATCTTTTTTAAAGGCTGAAGGAATGCAGCAAGATCTTTATCCAGCTGTATCAATGGGTGGAATATCCCTCAACCATAATTGATTCCTGGTAAGAAAAATGCTATACCAGTTACATCAAAAATGTGTTTATTATGCAGGAAAACAAATTTTTTTTTCTGCTGACAGGGCTCCAAATCCTCTCTCCCTTAAAGCAACTGAATGCTTTTATATCCTTTGATACAACGAAGATTTATACAAGGACAGGCTATCTGGAGCTCGTCCCCCATCCCCTGTCCCCCTTTAAGAAAGTTTGTGTGTGTGTGTGTGGTGTGTGTGTGTGTGTCTCTCTCTCACACACACACACACTCTCTCTCTCTCACTCTCTCTCTCTCTCTCTCTCTCTCTCTCTCTCTCTCTCTCTCTCTCTCTCCCCCCTAGTATCTACAGGACTAGAAAAGATGCGATGGCTTGAAATGCAAAAAAATATAAAGAGATAGGTCCTCTTTATTTATTTACTTGTTTTTTAGAGAGGAGAAGGGAGGGAGAAAGAGAGGGAGAGAAACATCTATCGGTTGCCTCTCCCACGCCCCCACAACCCAGGCATGTGCCCTGACGATGAACCAGGGACCTTTGGTTCCCAGTCAGGTGCTGAATCCACTGAGCCACACCAACCAGCCAGGGCTGGGTCCTCTTTTCTGCAATCCCTCCTAACCTAACCATTCAACTGTAAATAAAGAATCAGATTTAATAAAATGTAGGAAATGGGGATTACATGAGTGGGCAGAGCAGCAAACTACAGGTTATTGAGAAGAATGTGTGAGTGTGAACAGGCTTTCCCAAAATGCTTGCAATGCTTCTGAACCCCTCTCCTCTCCACTGAGTGATGAAGAGTCATTAAAAGGATCAAACTCTTCTGGATGGAAGGACAGTACTGGCCATTCAGTCTAACCATATACCCAAAGTCTGAATCTCTTATATGACATGCTCTTGTGATTATGAAATGTTAACAACTCAAGACAGTTCAATTTCATTGTTAAATGGGGTTCTCACACCGCATCAGCTTTTCTTTCTATTGGTTCCACTTTTTCTTTTGTATCATCTACCCTCTGGTCCAATTGGACTATACCTAAAATGACATTGAAGTCAAATCCTCCTTTTCTGTAAGTGACAAACCTCTAAGTTATTTGAAGGCTGGCCATCACTACCAGCTCTCACACCACTGTCTTTTTTGGTTCCAAACCAATCGCCAGTGGGATATCCTTTATCCCTCCAACCAAGATTTTGAATTCCTTCACCAGCTTATGTTTTTCTCTCCACTTGCTCCCTTGCTCAAAGTGTCACTAAATAGAACCAAACACAAATATTCAAGTGGAGTCTCAAGGAACGTACGTGACTTTCATTCAACAGATTGTCTGTGCTGAATGCAAGAGAAATGTTATCTCTCTTATTCTGATCAACCATGTTTCCATTAATAACACTAGGAAACACAGGAGTGCTTTTGTCGACCACATTTTACTACTGACTGGTACTAAGTTAGCATCATTTAAAACCCATAAATCTTCTTCATACATAATCTGGAAGTGTGTACTCATATAGTTGTGTTTTGAAGCTCATATTAGGAATCTTGTAAAAATTTATCTGGTTACAGGTATACTGTGAGGTTAAAAATATATACATAGTGTTTAGAGTGGTACATGGTAGCTAGCAAGTGGTATAAAATTTATAATTTCAACCCATGATTTCAGATTGTACAAATTTTTTTTAATTTGGAATATAGCACACAGTGTTAAAATTTCATGACCATTAGCGTATGTGACAGGCATGTTATGAATCCAAGTGCTGATAAAAAATGTTGAACAGGGCTAGGTAAAGAACCACGTACAACATAGCTATCGTCTCCAAATCTGGTGTTAATTTAAGTATTTTCTCTTTCAGGGGCGCAGTAGCGCGCCAGGAGAGCACAAAAGAAGGCTGCACGCCTCGGCTGAGTGGTGCTTGGGGCAGACCCAAAACACAGGATGAACTTAGGGTGCTTATGATTGCTGACTTCACAGAAACACCCTCGAAGGCAGAAGAAAAGCATTCCTCTTGGAAAACTGTTCTAATGATGTAGGAATTATACCATTACCTGGAGTTTCCTGGCCAATAACATTAGTAATGAATGCTTTTTGAAGATGCTGGTAATTACAATATATCACTTGTCATGACTTTGCTCTCTAAAATTATCAAAAGACAAAGATATCTCTAAAAAACTACATAACAAACATGAATTTGAAAACCACCTATTCAATTTCAAAAGCAAATAAAAAAACCCTATTCAATCACATTAGCTCTTCCCATATGCAGAAGAACTACTGAATATATACATTAATTTGCAAAGCAATAAAAAATATCAAAAACATGCTTCTGACATCCCTAGATTTTTGCATATCTAGTTTACCCTACTAGAGTAATAAATTATAAGATCTGCAATTAAGAATATTTTAGGTTATATAGTTAAAATTCTAAAGTACTCTTGAAAAAAAATAATAGTGCTATGATGTTCTGACACATAGTAAAGTGTCTGCATAATGGGATGTCACTCAAGTGTCAACCACACTTTCCGCTGACTTACCACTAGCAATGAAGATTATTGTAAATTTTTTCCTGTATTTTCCTGCATGTGGTCAATATAACATAATTTTAGGTTTCACTGAGAATTAGGAGATATAAGCCCTAAAAAGCTAAGCTGTCCAACATAGTAGCCACTAGCCATATTTGGTTATTTAAAATTAGTATTTAATTTAAAAATCAGTTCTTCAGCTGCACTGCACATTTCAAGTGCTCAGCAGCCCGATGTGGCTAGTAGCTACCATAGTGAACAGCACAATACAGAACATTTTTATCATCACAGAAAGTT